CTGCCCAGCCTGTCCGCCAGCACCGCCTCAAACTCGGCCGCCCCCAGCTCCAGGTGTGCACTGCGTGATGCCACACTGTGGGACGCCGCGCGGAGGCCACCAGTCAGGCTGCCTTCCAAGCCCCCGGCCCTCTTGCGGCGCGCGCCGCCGTTTGCCCGCCGCCCCACCCCCAACGGCGGTGGTGGCAGCTCCGCCTGGTGCTCTGGCGGCGGCAGGGTGACCGTGATGTGGCGGTGCACCGCTAGAGCCACCGCCGCCATGCCCAGCACCACCGCCATGGTGGCCTGCACCTCGCGGCAAAAGCCGGCCGCGCCGGCGCCGCTCGCGCGCGCGGCAGTCATCGCCTTGAGCACAAGACCTGCCGCGGCCTGCGCCACGTTGGCGCCCAGGCCCAGGAGCGGGTACGCGGTGGGGGCGTCCTGCAGCGAGGTGATGTCGTTGGCGAGGCCCCAGAAGAGCAGGCCCATGCAGACGTCGCCCCACAGCTCCGCGGCGCAGAAGAAGAGGGTGTAGGTCCAGTTGCGCACCATGCCCACCGCACCGCCCAGGCCCGCAGGGAGGACCTGCAGGAGAGGAGTCGATGGATTCATATGCATTTGAAGATTAGGAGAGTGGTTGATCGTGTATGGTGCCTAAACCTCCAATCAGTAGTAGCGTGGATGGGTGAGCGCAGGCAAGTTGCGCACTACCAGTCCACGCCTGGGGCTGCAGCCCGCGCTGCCCAGAGGCGCACCTGCTGCATGCTGTCCGCCAGTGCGTGCAGGTGCAGAGACTCGGCGTTGGGCATCAGGAAGAGCGCGAACAGCGCAAAGAACCCGCCAAAGCCGACGACAATGGCGTTGAACAGCGCCGCCCGCGACATGCGCTGGCTGGCCCAGGAGTAGGCGACCAGGAACAGCAGGGAGCTGGGCAGGACCGCGTACACCGTTAAGAAAGGCACCACAGAGGCGCCGCCGCCGGGCGCAGTGATGACGAGGGTGTCCTTGAGTGAGTCCAGGATGGTGTTGGTGAAAGACAGGCAGAAGAACAGGCACAGCATAGGCACAAACCGCCGCCACAGGCCACCCACGCGCCGCGTGTACTCAGTCAGAGCCGCCGCAGCGCCGCCTAGCAGGGGCACAGATGCCACTGCAGCAGGTAGACCGCCCTCAGCCGGGGTCCGCTGAGGGCGCAGCTGCGGCGCCTCTTCGTCCCCAAACGGCGAGGCTGCTGCTGCGCCTGCTGCCACCAGCAAAGACGGCTGTCCGCAACCCCGCCGCCGCGGCAGTTGCGGCTGCCAGCATTGCGTCCGCAAACTTGGCAGCAACCCAGGCCGACGTGTGTGTCCTGCTGATTGGCAAGCAGGGTATGCGGTGGTGTGACTTCAGCAGCCCTGAGTGGTTGCCAACAGTTGCCAACAGCGCCGCGAGCCGCGCAGATGCCAATTCAACTGGTCCAGCGCAGCTAAACGCCTCACCTGAGAAACGTCGGAATGGCCCGTGCGCTTCCTTTGCCACTGATGGTGTCACATGGTGACTGCAGGGAGTACCGTTTGATCGAGTTGGGGCCGCAGCAGGAAAAGGAGCGGGCGCACATCGAGGGCGGTGTCCACGTATGCAGCCACCGCGTAGGACTGCAACTGTGCATCATGTTTGTATTTTGACCAACCAGCACTCAAATGCTGCCGCAAATCTGCAGTGCGGGCACAAGTTGCCGCTGCTGCTCACAATGCTGGCCATGCACCGGCTGCTGATTCAGCCACTTGTGACGGCCGCCCTGCACGCCGCACACCGCCCACAAGCCTACGCGCACCTGCACGTGGGCGTGTATCTCCTCGATGCATGGATATTGCACCTGCTAAGCATGCCTGTTGCACGCTTTGCTCCGCGCTTTCCTCGCGCCCCAGCCCACTCGCGAGCAATCAGCGATTTCGACGCAGCAACGGGTAGAGGCTAAGTTGAGCGGCACTTTCTAATGATATTTCCCGTGCCAAGTGCGCCCTGTGATCAAATGGGGAGCTGGTGTGCGGCATGCATGTAATTGCGTGTCTGGGACCGCGTCGGCGGCCTTGTCTTGAGTAAGATGTATGAGTAAGAGAATATCAGACTATCCAATGCCAAGCCGCAAGGCGTGCAGTCTTGAGCGAGCCAATCGCGCTTCGAACCACAGCCTCGGAGCCGTCACTCGGTGACCCGACAGCACTGGTTCCGCCCGTCGCACAGTCTTCAATTGGACACAGTGCAAGCAAAACCATCATGATGATCAAGATCGCATGTATTCTGTATACAAGCACAGTACGACTAAGTAATTGCTTGCAGTCCTTGCTCCTGTGAAGCTTGGCGTGGTTGTCAACCACGCTGGAGTGTCCCTGCCGTCGCAGCACAGGCAGGTGCTTGGCCAACATGCTGGGGCCACAGTTAGGAAGGAGGGCCACCCAGGGGGTTCATTCGTACTGCATCGTGGATTCCAGTGCGATAATCGCGTTTGTCAGGCGTGTTGCGGTATTGTGTTCTATTGACTAGCTATGCTCGAGGAATCGGGCCCAAGCCAAGGCAACAGCCGTGCTGCCCGCATACTCACTACGTCGTATCAGTATGTCAAGCAATGCATGTACTGCTCAGGAAGTAGACCATGCTCAAGCGCAGACGCGACTCCTGCACAGCGGCCAAGGAGCTGTCAAAAGCGGCCAAGCAACAGCACATCAGCTACCATGACGTTTACAATAAGCACACTATGCAATCCTATTGTGTGCATGGGCTGATGCAAGGCTTGGGAGGCTGGGCAGGGTGCAAAACGGGAGCTGGTATCTTGGCTTGTCAAAAATGCAGTCGGGCAGCGTGCCCAGCATGCCGATTGCGACAGGGCGGTTGTGTGCTTAACACAGCGCCACTGGCATGCAGAAGCCTCACGGGTGCCCCCCTCGGCATGACACCAAGCGCATGACACCGGCGCATTAAAAGATGCCGCCAAGAGAAAGGAAGCGCAGAGGCACAATGGGCGAGAGGCAGTTCAGGCCCAGGCGTTGTGGCGAAGACACACGGCCTCGACACGCCTCGTCAACTTCAAAGACGTTCGACAACATCGATCCGCGTACAATTGAGTGGTGAAAACGATGCAGAAGCCATGCCCGTGTCAGGATTAGATCGGCCCAGCGGCAGTGCGAGCTATGAGGCTCTCAGTGGCAAGTGATCAATCGAACTGGTGCATCACGAGGCGAAGGAATAATGCGCAAGTCTTGTGCGCTCGCGGGGTGGTGCTTCCAAAGCAGCACGGGTGGTGCGTAGCTGCTCCCACGACGCCCAATGCGGCCACGCCCCTGCGGCTGGGGCGTGTCAGCCTGCAGCGCCGTTCGGCTGCCGCAGTAACAGCTGCCCCCGATCAAAAGCAGTCGCGCCCCTCGCAGTCGCAGTCGCAGCCGACGCCAACGCGCGTCCGGGTTGCGCACGACGGCAGCATACGTGCGAGTAGGCTGGCGTTCTGGGGCCTCCTCCAGACTGAGCTCAGGCAGCTGGGTGGCGACGACGAGGGTTTGAAGGACGCCGTGTCCCTCCTGGCGTCGCTTGAGAGCATCTATGGGTGAGGTGCCAAGGGTGTACTTTGAAAAACAGCGCATCCCAGCAGGTGCAAAAAGCTCGCATGAATATGGGAGGCGCTGCCCACAGGCACCTAGCCTCCCCTAAATCAGGAGACTGCCAGCCGCGTGCTGTAGCCATAACGTGATGACGCATTCACACTTGTGCGCGCACGCAGCGTCGAGTACACCGGCCTGGCAGAGGCCCTGCTGTCCGCGTTCCAGGCGGCGGCGCGCCCCACTGCGCGCGGGGGCGTGGGCAGCCCCTCTGGGTCACCGGGTGGCACTGTGACGGGCAGCATGGACGAGTCAGGGCCGGCCCTGGAGCACCTGGCTCTGCCGGGAGCCGCCTCTGTGGCCGGGGCTGCCAACGCAGCGGCGACGGCCGCGGCCGCTGCAGCAGCAGTCGCGAGTGCTGCTGCCAGCGCTGCAGTGAGCCTGGTGGACGCTGAGGTGGCCAAGGGGGCCAGGAGGGCCGGAGATGACGTCGAAGGGCGTCCGCGGCGGCATGACCGTAGCACGGAGGGTCAGCAGCAGCAGCCACGTCAGCACGCAGATGAGGGGCAGGAGCAGCAGCAGGCGGAGCAGCTGCTTCAGGAGCAGCAAGAGCACGCGCAGCAGGTGGTGACCGCCGCCCAGCTGCGCATTGAGCGCGAGCTCAACCAGGCGCGCATCAGGGAGCAGCGGTCAGAGGCGCGGATTCGCCGCCTGGAAGCGGTGCGGGCGGCGGCCGCCGAAGCCGACGCGCGGTTCACGAGCGCGCTGCTCACGCTGGCGTCGCGGGCTCACTTTTCGTTCCTCACGCCGCGTGATGTCCAGCTGGCGGCCAGCCTGAACCAGGACTACTGGCTGGGTGGGTGCGGCGCAGCCTGCGGCGTTCTCATAGATGCGTTCAGTTCAATTGCAGCCAAGACGGCCGCCGCAGGGATTGAGTGTGCGAGGAGCTCTGGGTTGCGGAGGGTCGGTGTGCCACGGGAGCAGCACACGCGCTCGGGAGCGTGGCCGCCCCTCATCCTGCCGTTGCTGCACCCCCTTCCGCGCACCTCATATCGCGCAGGCAACATCTTCATCCGCACCAACCCTGCCGGCCTGGACCCCTCCCTGGCGGCGGCGTGCCCCGAGGCCCGCGCTCAGATGCCTCCCGAGGCAGAGCCTTTGCTCGTGTTCAAGTAGGCGTGGGGCGGCGCAGTGAGCTGGCGGGACGGGAGGACAAGACCGGGACGATGCGGCAAAATGGGGACAGGAGGAGGTTGCAGTGAGGATCGGCTGCTTTTGCAGCCAGACTTTGCATACAGCCGCAGGGCCTGTGATGGTGCTCCACGCCATACGTCGCACCGTCTGCCAGCGTGTGCGTAACCCTGCAGGGCCGGACAGCCGGGTTGGGTACCCAACAGACTTGCCTGCTCCTCACCCTGCTCACGCCCTCTCAGGCGTGGCTACAGCAGTGAGCGCTCCAAGGGGCGGCTGACAGTGCAGAAGCTCGATTACCGTGAGGGGCCATCTTCCGGTTGGGTGCACGGCACAAATCGGGCTGGGAGTCTGGAGGAGCACTTTGAAACACCTAGAACACAGAACGCCAGCCTCCGCAGAACACCCAGCTGCATCAGAGCGTGCGCTCTCTACCACATTGCGTGGAGCTTGCTGTACCTGTGTACGTCTTGCTGCCAGTCAGCCCCCTTGCATTTAGGTCCCTGCCGGCTCATTCCAACTCCATCCACTGTCTCATGCCCCCACAACCTCCCACGTCTGCTGACAGTCCAGCTGTGGCTCATCAGGAGCGTCGGCTCGGCACTGGGGGACCTCGCCTCAGGGCTGGCGGACGGGCTCGGCCTCAAGCAGCGCCCAGGGACAGCACGGCCACCCCGCAGTGGCAACACCCCTGAGCGACCCTCTGGGCCGCAGAGCCGCGGCCTGGATCAGGATGCGGGGGGCATGCCGCGCAGCGTCGGAACTGGCAGTGGCAGCGGTGCTGCCGTTGATGGCGCCCCCGTGCCACCCCCCGCACCACAGCGACCCGCGACACCGGGCCCCCGCGGCCCCAGCCCCTCGCTGAGGCCGCCGCGCTGGCGGGCCAGGAGTGTGGGATGGGCGCTGCGCGCAGCGGGGCAGCGTGTGGCGCGGGCGCTGTCGGTCGTCGGCCTCCTGCCCCGCATGGACGTGACACCGCTGACGTCGTTCGACAGGTGAGGACTCCGGTAAGGGGGGGGGGGGCGTGCCTGGGATTAGGTGACGACCCGACTTCACCCGTGATCATCATGGGCCCACTGCTGAGCCCTTGAAAACCCCGCACCTCTTGATCTGCACCGACCCCCTGCCTCACAGTCAGCTGCCCGTGACGGAGCCGCCGCGCCTGGCCCCCCTCTACGTGGAGCGTGTGTCGCTGCCGGACTTTATGGATCCCTTGCTGCCGCAGTGGGGTGGGGGCGCCGGCCCCAACACGCGCAGCGGCAGCAGCAACACCAACAGCAGCAATGGCAGGAACAGCAGTGGTAGCAGCAGCGGCGGCAGCATCGAAACCACCACCAGCAGCGCTGCCCGCACCGCGTCCCCGTTCCCTGGGCCGCCTGATGGCGGGGAGGCCGGGGCCCTGGATCTGCCGCCGCCCGGGCTGCTGTCTGCGCTGGTGTCTCCCGTGTGGCTGGTGGAGCCGTCCTTCAGGGAGGTGCTGGTGGCCTTCAGGAAGAAGCCGCGGGTGGGTCAACCAGGGAGGGGCGGGGCGCAGCGCGAGGGGGCAGGCGACCGCTGCGCACACACAATGCCCCGGAAGGCGCCGGCCTTCACGTCACCCAGCCCGGGGCACGCTGTAACGCGGCTCACCTGTGCCCAGGGCTGCCTGCGTGAGCCAGGTTGCTGCCGGGTTGCGACTCGCGTGGTGCTTGCACCTCCCTCCATCCATCAACTCTCCCCTCCCACAACACCCTCGCTTGCCTGGCCCACCCTGGCGCACGCAGATCAGTGGGTGGGAGCGCTTCAAGGGCGCGCTGCGCGGCAAGGCCCTGCAGCCCAACCCCGCGCGGCCGCCCTCCATCGAGATTGTGCTGTACAGCGGCATACCCCTGCCCGCATGGCAGGTGCGCACGCGGCAGACTGCATGGGCCGGCCGGCCCGGCCGACACGGCTGCTCATGTGGCGTGCAACCCCGCTTGAGCAACGGTGCAGCGCGGCCGCCACAGCTGCATTCACTGGACACTATCGAGCCCCTCCCTGCGTTTTGAATGCCCCTGAGTACAACTCTCCTTGCTTATTGTCACCCGATGCTCAAGGCCCCCCCCCACCTCAACCCTCATGCTATCAGATCGTGTACCCCTCCAAGGTCCTGCAGTTCAGGCCGCTGGACATCCTCAAGATAGACCTCTTCGCACTGGTGGGGCTGGCGGCGGCTCTGGGCCAGTCCAAGGTGGACAGCCTGCTGCTCTACGCCATCACTGCCGTGTCGGCCGGCGCGGCGCTGTCGCGGCTCGTGCTTGGCTACATCCGCATCAGGGACAAGTGCGCATCGGGCGCGGCGCTGACGCGCAAGCGGCCGCGAGCAGGCACACGCGAGACCCAGTGCTTTATAGATTGTGATGCTCCAGCCTCCAGTTTGTTGAGGGCGGGGCAGCTTGGCAGTGCAGAGCGGCGCTCGACTGCAGGTGGCATGTCCTGGTAGCCGCCCCGTACCGCCTTGTGTGCTGGGCGTGACGCCCTGCGCCCGCCCACCGCCCGTGTCGTGCCTGCCCCCTGTCGCGCCTCAGGTACGGGGCGTTGGTCAGTGAGCTGCTGCGCGACAGGTGGGGCGATGAGGGGAGCGCCTGAACTCTAGTGGGAAGGGGTTGGCTGGGGGCCCACCATTAGTGCTGTGAGGCGGCGAGCTGGTGCCATGTTGACTTTGGCAGGCTCACCAGCCTGCAGAGCTGCGTCACGTAAGCGGCAGCGTGACGCTCTGGCAGCCCTTAACGAAATGCCTAGACGCCTGCCCTGTTGCCCCCAGAAGCCTGGAACACATCACCAAGATCCCTCAGACCCAGTCCACAACCTCCCTTCAAAACACCCTCTTGTCACCCGACCTCCACCCCCACACACCCACTCTGCACCATCCCCCGCCACCTGCCCACCCACCCACCCACCATAATGCGCGCACCTCCCCCTGCACCACCCACCCCACCCACCGCGCAGGACCGTCGCGGGCAACGAGGGCGCAATTGAGTACCTGGCAGCCACCGCCGGGCTGCAGCAGTGGAAGCAGGCCGCCCTGGCCTACACGCTGATGCTGGGGGCGGGGCGGCCCCTGTCTGAGGAGGAGCTGTGTGGCCGGGCTGAGGCCCTGCTGGCCGCGAGGCTGGGGCTGCAGGTGTGCTTCGCGGCCGGGGAGGCCCTGGGAGAGCTGCGGCGGTTTGGGCTGCTGCTGGAGGAGCCGCAGCAGGCGCCAGGGGCGGTCGCGGCGGAGAGAGCCAAGCGGCAGGGCGAAGGTGGTGGGGGCGTCAACGGCCAGGGCACCGCGGACGGGGGACAAGGCGGCCGCCACGGGGCCGATGCGCCGGCGCCGGCGCCTGCGGCGTCAGCTACAGCTGTGGCTGCGCCCGCCACTGCTCCTCCGTTTGCAATGCTGGCGCGCGGCCCCCCTCGGCGCTACAGCGTGGTGCCTGCGGGCGAGGGCTGCAAGCTGCTGCGGCGCCACTGGGCTCGGCTCCTGGAGGCCCGGGTGGACGGCATCATGCGGGGGCTCGCGTGAGGGGATCACACGCCCCCACACACGCACACTCGCGTGTGGTGGTGTGTGTAAGGGCGCAGCCCGCGCTTGCAGAGGTGCCTCGCCTCTGATGCTGTGAACCGCACGTCCGTCGCTGCTGCTTCTCGCCACTTGTATTGAAGCGGGGTTCCGGCCCCTCCCAGCACGCCCACTTGCTTGCACCCCCTGGGAGACATTGGGGAGTGATGCTGCAGGTGGTGCATTCCTTCTTACAATTCGAGCGCAATTTGTTCCCACTGTTGATGCATTGTGCACAGGATATTCCATGAGAAGCCGCTATGTTGATTTTGAGGGGGGCCCCTCTGGAGGTCTCGAAGGCCCCCCCCCCTGCGAGCCCTTCCAAGGGGCCAGCGCCGCCACCGAACACAGGCAGGCGGGCGCTGTTCGATCACTGGCGGCGCATTGCCTGCCCTCAAGTTGTCAGCACCTGTACACCCCTAACACAGACTCGGCCATCATTCCGTTGTGTTACAACTCATGTTTAAGGGGGTTGGGTTTGGTCGCTTGCTGGACATTTGATGCATGTGACGGGTCCAGCATGCGGGGTGCAACCAAAGCCTATGCTTTCTACAATCAGTACAGCACATGAAATGGGGATGAATGGCCCTGCACGGCCCGCCGCCGCAGCGTGCACCCCTGGGCGAGGCCCCTCATTTTGAGAAGAGCATCCCGAAGCAGCGCGTGACCGCCGACCCAAACATGCCCAGCATCCAGCGGACACTGTCTGTGCCCCCGGGGTAGTACGACGTCAGGTAATACAGCAGCGCCACCACCTGGCACCAGGTTTGCAGTTCGCAGGAGTGAGGGAGTGTGTGCGTTAGATTTGAAAGCGTCGGTGCAGCGACACGGTTTGGCAGGGGGGACGGGAGCGATCAGGTCAAGGTGCCTCATTTCAGCCAAACGCAGCCATGGTCCCTGCACCCTTGAGCTGCTCCCCACTCCCCACCCCCCAACTCTCCCTCCCGCCCCCACCTGCAGTGCCGAGGCCCCCAGGCTCAGCAGGTATGACTTGAGGAATATAGCCGCGTACAGTGTGAGCCCCACGCTGCCCAGGTACCCGGCCGTGAACGGCAGC